TTATACGATTTGAAACATTTTATAAATTTAACAGCTCTTTTGGGTATAAGAGTAATTTTATAATAATAATATATTAAATAATTAAAATTAAAAGGCTCGATAAGGCTCGACGAGCCTTCGAGCATCGCTTTTGGATGCTTGAACTCGACTTGTTTAGCTTATCGAGCCGCTCGAACTCGACTCGAACTCGAGTTGACCGAGTTCGAGTCAAGCTTTTGACCGAGCTGTTCCCTATTCAAAATCAGGTAAAATAATTGCTCAGATATAAAAATTTTACGCATTGGTTCCAAAACTCATTTTTGCTCAGTTTTCTAGCTAAAAGACACATGCCTATCTCAAGTGTCCATAATTTCAAAGTCAAAATAGGAACAAAATTGATTTCCCTTCACCCAAAAAAAAAAAAAGAAGTCCGACCCTTTTCCTTAATTTTCAGCTACCAAACTCACATAAGACCTATTGGTCATGCAATTTGGGACCCTCATTTTAGTCAACCAACCATGGAAGCTTTTACTGCTCTTAGCTCGGTGAATATTGCCTACTCTGGTGTTTATAAATGGTGATATATAATTGGTTTTACTCACCAATGAATATCTTTATCCAAGAGCTATCATATTTTTAATAATAGGTTGATTGCACTTACAACCGAATGAAATTTGAGTGTTCCGCTTTGCGTTGGTTATTACGGGCAACTGAGGTTGGCATGTATTTTTTTTATCAGAAAACTAAGCAATAATGAGCTCTGAGACCAAATGAGCAAAATCTTTTATCAAAATAACTGAGGGTTGGACACGGTCTGAGAGGGTGTAAATTTAGATACTGCCTATGATAGTTAACGTGAAGGGCCATATGATAAATGTTTTGCTATTTTTGAGGTTCGACTGCGATTTAGTCAAATTACAAGGTAGGTTTCGTAATTTGATCAAACTACAAATTAACCCAAACAATTTTTGCACCGATATCATTTGCTTCTGTGATTATGAAATTAAGATGAGTGTTTAGTAAGATATGACTGTGACGTCTGAACTAATCAAAACTGGATCATTATTTCTTCTGGAAGCTTCGTGTTTGTTCATACATCATAGTGATATGATATTTGTAGTTTATTCGGCACAAATTTGCAAATCCAAAAGTAAAGAATGCGTGTAAAATGATAATTGATTTGACCCAATTTTTTTATATCCAAATTCCCCAATCTTCCGTCTATAAATCACCGAAAGGTCCAATTACCAAAACCACTTTAGAATAAAGTTCCCATATCCAAGTTTCGACCGTCCATAACTAAAGTACAGAATCTTTGGAACATTTTCTTCAGAATCTTGTCGTAAATTCATGGCAGACTCCTCCGGGAACAACCATCCTCCCACACAGCCTACGCCAGCTCCCACCGCGGTTCCGGAGGCTACTCCGCCAATTGATGAGGATCAGACCAAGTGGGGCACTCGTATCATGGGTCAACCAGCAGCTCCAACAACTCATCCAGACAATCAGAGGGCCGCCTCATGGGTCAATCAGCACCACCCCTATGTTGTTTACTCACCTGTGGACAAGCCTAGCGAGAACCCTTGTGAATCTGTGATTCATATGTTCAATTCTTGGAGCCATAGAGCTGAAACTGTAGCAAAGAACATCTGGCACAATTGTGAGTTGATCGTCCATCATGGCATTTCTTTCTTTCTTTTTGTTCTCTTGCTTTTGTTTGTGCTTGATTAATTATTATTGATATCTTGAATTGGCTTTCTTGATTGGTATTGAGAAAATGGATGATGGGATTTTATTCCCAGAATTGAAATTATGGAGTTCTGTTTGGGTTGTATTTAGAAGAATTAAGTAAAAAAAAAAAATACTTGGGCAGTTCTTGGGATATGATGTATCATGGATGTGCAATGAAAAGTTGAATTAGAAAACAAACTCCTGTTTCTTAAGTGATGAGTTTACAATACAATTTTCTGTTTCTTAAGTTGATATGTTTACCTTAGACATTTCATGCTGGCAGTTTTGACTCTTGAATTGCATGACTGATCATATTGAGAATAAATATAATGGTTTTATATTCCAAAACTAGAATTGAGGAGTGATGTTGATACATGAATAAGATGATTCATTTTGCTGCAGAGTTTTCTGCTTTTTAGTTGTTTGTGTTATGCCATTTGTGTAAAATACAGGGAACATGTGAGATTGTTATATTTGGATTGGTTGTGTTGCCATTATTGAATTATGGAGAAAGGAAAAGAGGGGCTAACTTTGTGTAATTGCAGTGAAAACTGGACCATCGGTTTCTGGAACTGCATGGGGAAAACTTAATTTGACAGCAAAGGCGTTGACTGAAGGGGGATTTGAGTCTCATTACAAGCAGATATTTGCTACAGATCCAAATGAGAGGTTGAAGAAGACCTTTGCTTGTTACCTTTCAACCTCAACAGGTCCTGTTGCTGGAACTCTTTATTTGTCAACAGTTCGAGTGGCCTTCTGCAGTGATCGTCCCTTGTCCTTTAGAGCTCCTTCTGGCCAAGAAACTTGGAGCTATTACAAGGTATAAGAACAAACTCCTGTCTGTAGAAATTACTTTCGGGTCACAAAAGATTCAGAAGTCTACTCTTTTTTTTTCTTTATTGGTGGGAGTTTGCTCTGTTTTTTGGTCAATTCGTACGATTTCATTAGTTTGAATACGAGCCAGGTTCAGACTCTATCAAAACCTTTACTGCTTACCCGCAAAATTTTCACTTTTTCTGAATGTTGCCAAGGCAATGTTTGGATTTTGCGTCTGTGTAGTTTGTCTCATGTTTGGCTGGACCTTGAATTTACAAAGTGAGGTTTATTATTGTTCGATTGGTAGAATTAAAATGAGCCTGTTTACAACTGTAGAGATGATGATTAACAGCTATCTTCAAGCTTTTTTTTCTTGATTTTGGTACTGATTTCAGTCACGTTAGGTATTTTCTCTTTGACTTTATTAGACTCGTTGAGTTTGTGAGACTCATTACATGACTAATTTCTAGCGGTATCAAGTTCAAATGTCATTAATACCATCCTACAGAATGCAGTAGCTAATGATAGTGATGCAAAGAAGATCAAAAAATAGATATGTGGATGATTTTTCTATGGTTCTTCTGATGATAATGAAATCTACTTACTTTAGTTGCTAAATCTTGTTAAAAGTTGGCGGTTCTCTAACATACGGATCCATTTGACAGGTTATGATACCTTTCGCAAACATTGCGAATGTGAATCCTGTTGTGATGAAACAAAATCCACCAGAAAAATATATTCAGATTGTGACAATTGATGGGCACGAGTTTTGGTTCATGGGATTTGTCAATTTTGAGAAAGCATCGCATCATCTCTTAGACAGCGTTTCTGATTTCGGAGTTCGTCAAAATGCTTCGATACCCATCGCAAGCTAGCAGTGTGTTGTACTTACCTTTGATATGGCCTTAGCTTATATGCGTGGTTTTTTTTTGGTTTGTTTGCTTTCATTCCTTTCGTTTCATTTGTTTGATACTATGAGGAGTGTGTCATTGTGTCCTAGTTACAGAGCAGTTTAAAGTTGAATGAGTTTTGTTTGTTTAGACTTTGCTAGTTCTGTTTTAGGGTGCAATGGGGGCAAATGAGACATGCAAAAAATTTGGACCGGACTGATCAGTTCAACTGATTGAACCACGAATCAGTCTGGTTGAAAGTTAAAGCTAGAATGGACTAAAAACCATTGAGAACTGGTAAATCCATTAAAGCTGGTAAAATCTGGATGAACCGATTAAATTCAATTTTGAGTACTCTTCCTCATTTGACCCAAAAGTGTTTTTAAAAGCAAACCAATTCGACCGGTTAAGCCATGAATTGGTCTGGTTGGAAGCTAAAGTTGGAATGGACTAAAAACCATTGAGAACTAGCAAATCCATTAAAACCGGTAAATTGTGGATTAATGGGTTGAATCCAATTTTGAGTATTCTTCCTCACTTGACCCACCGAACTTATTGACATTCATTCATATTAAAAGCAACAAACTAGCAAACTCTAGAAAAAAAAAAAAAAAGACAGCTGTCACCCTTCTTCCTCTTCTCCAAAGTTCCAAACTATATCTTCTTTTGTGAGTTTGTCGAAAACTCTCTAATCTCCACTTCTTTCTCTTCTTTCTAGTCTATTATCTTTTTCGATCCAAAACTGAAACTCCATAACTTACCTACATAAGAAGTCAGATAAGAGTTTACTTTTCATGTGTAAAGGTCTGTGCAAGTTTTTTTTTTCTATTTATTTGTCAGTTTCTTCCTTTCTTTTGTGGTTCAAAGTTTTTTTTTTTCTTTTTTTTTTTGTCTTTTTGTATTTTTGGGAATGGTTGCCCATTTTAACAATGATTCAAAAAATTTTCTTCTTTTGGAGTTACATTTAGTCTCTTTTCTTGTTCTGTTCAGTTGAGAAAGTGATAATTGGGTAATCATGTTTGATTGTTTTAGTTTGACAAATTTGGGCAGAAATTTTTTCTAGTTTTTCTACATTTTATGTGTTGTTTTAGGAATTCTAGTGACATTTTTTTTTCTCTATTTGATGTATTCATAATTTTTGAATTTCTCTAAAAATCCTTGGAAAATTTCAAATCTTTTGGTGTTTTTGAATATTTTTAGTGTTCAAATTTCTAATGTGTTTAAATTTTGTTTGGATTTTTTGCTAACTCATTCCTTATTTTTCAAATCCCTCGCATTTTCTAGTAGTAAATGATGGGTTAACTTGTTAATAGGACATGAACAGTCAAGACGCTCTATGGAATGGGTTCAGCCTTTTTAAATTGGATCAGACTCAATTGACAAGTCAACTAAATGCATGGCAAATTTACTCTAAGGTACACAAGCTATGGTGGGCATATATATATATATATATATATGAATATTAAAACAATAAAAAATATAAAAAATTAGTGATCCAATCAGTTGAATTGGTTGAACCAATAACATTGGACCGATCACTCAATCGGGTCAATCCTCAATCCGACTTTTAAAACATTGCATGCAATACATGAAAATCTTCTTCCTTTCTTTTTGGACAATTAATTAAGTTTTCCAATACCAATTTACATATTCCACCATAACATCAGTGTACGGATGCAGAGTCTATGATATGGCCAATAGCCACACAGGATTTCCAGAAATTAACCATCCTTTTATTAGCAATAACCTAAATATGCCCTCAAATTTGTAGATCCTCCACTGTGGTTATAATACTGGTGATTTCAGTGCTGGCACTCTCATACACTTCGCTGCCATCACTATTCTCCAAAGCACTCACTTTCAAAGTGAATTTGTAAGTGTAACATGCTTTCAGTGGAAATCTTTGGTTACAATTTATGTTGCCTCCTCTCTTGTTTTGGTACCCCGGATAGTTCTCTTTTCTAAATTCAACTTTGTCTTTCAGTTGTAAACCTGCACATTCTGCTAGCTTCTCAACTTCCCATCTATTGTAGGGATAATCATCCCTAACGGTTACATGAATTTCACCTTCTTCTAGCAGCATTTCTTTGGCTGTTTTGAAGTAAGCTGCAATCAGATCTTGGTGCATCCTGTAATTTTGTCAACCCATCCGAAAGGAGCCAAAAAGAAAGTGGAGTAAAGAAAATAGCAAAGATTACTAATTAAGTAAACAAATTACATGCAGATCAAACTCAAAGGGCAAAAAATGGTTGGTCAAGTACAATGAACTAAAGTCCTTCTATAGCCATTTCACAATTTTAAATTGGCGACTAAGGAATTTTTGTCATCCTTAATCACCTTGTTCATTGGAGAAGATAATACATTGACTCTGTATGGTAACTTGCCACAATGAACTATTTCAGCCCTTGAGGTTTTTTTCTGTTTCCTTGTTTCTTAATTCACAACACTTGAACATTGGTACATAAATTCAGAAATTAGACAACTAATATGACATCAACAATATATAGTCCATCTGAGAAACAATAAAACATTATTATTTTCTTAAGCTGGAGGTCTATTTTCTGAGCTATCTTGAATATCTCGAAGGGATACTTGCACCAATAATCTAGAATAGCAGTATAGGGTTTGGTTTACAACAACACTAGTACTTCAATACAATAACTACAAAATTTTACAATTTTTCAAGCAAGTCAATATACAACTGCAGAAGACTTCTGTGTGCTTTATCAATAGAAATCTTCACTTACCGAATAAGGATGGAGTCTCTTTCACGTAACCATCGATAATGCCCTGCGTGGGGAAAGTTAAATAGTATGACATCAAATTTCATGTACTTCAGGTATGGATGCTCGTTCATGTTGTGGACATCAACTTGATACAAAACAAGGCCTCTCAATCTTTTCAATTCCTGAAGATGTGCTGTGCTTGTCCAATGTCTCACCCACAACATCGCTTTTAAAATAAAACAAATTTGTATAAGAAATGCATATATAAAAAATGTGAAACGAATTTCACTTATAAACCAGAAATGCATGGATGCCATTAGTCAAGATGAATTCACACAATGGACAGGTTTTTGTCCTATACATGGTGCCACAAAATCAAACCCGCTAAACAGTTTAATTGGATTTAGATCAAAATAAGATACATGAGGATCATGTTGATCTTAAAACCTAACTGAAAACTAATAAAAATTCAGATTACGAGTTGGAAGAGATAGAGAGAGAGAGAGAGACGAACGAAAGGTGTATATGCATATGTTCTTGGGAAATAGTTTCTCTGTACCTCATTTATCATACATAAAAAACAAAGAAATGGAAACAGAGAACTACTAATAAAATACCTTCAGTATGAAGACATGTTGCCACCATGTTTGCAGCACTGCCAAAGGCTTTGGCTAAACAAGCAGAAAATGAAAAATCTCCTTCACCTACTAGCAATATCTTATGGGAACTACTGTAGTGCTGAATCCATCTTTCTTTTGTCTCGTTATTTTTCATCTCTAAATCTCTCAAGTTCAAAGATCAGCCTTTGAATTTTAGGAAATTGGCTTTATTTCTTGTAGGTAAATTCCTTGTTTTGTGTGAAAGTAATTTTAGTTATTTGAAGTAATAGGTAAGGAATATTTCCTCTTTGTATGAGTTTAGGAATTAGAAATTATTTCTTATTCTGTATAAGTTAGGAATTAGTAGTTATTTCTTACTATTAATTGGGTGTTGGTCAAGTAAAGTTACTTGCAAATAGGTGAGGGTTAGCATACTACAATGTGGCATACAAGACAGTCATGTAATCTTTACATGAAGTGTGAGAGGTTGTTGGGGGGTGAAAGAAATTATACAAGAGTTGGGTTTCAATTCAAGTTGTATTCTTATATAGAATTTATTCCCTCATAATAAAGAAACCACATTAAACCATGGATGTTCATGGTTAGATCCTAGTTTATTATTGAGATCAAGTGGGTTGGTGGTTACGACCAATACAACAATTAATAGGTAACATCCTTGTTTCAAAGGTTTGGTAAGAAGTATTGAAGGTGAAGGATGGGAAGAAAAAAGCATGGAGATACTTGACGATAAGTTTAGATAAGTAATTCAAGAGTTAAAGAAAAAGTGGAGTCTAATATCGACTTTGGATGTGAAATAATGAAGATGTTCTCGCAACTTTAGTGGTTGAAACTTCATCCATTCTTTGGATGGTATCACGTATGTTGTAAAGAAATAAAAGAATCTAATTTCTATGTATTAAAAGACTCTAACCGTTATAAATTTTTCATTATAGGTGGAGTCTTGAAAATCACACATGGAGAAATAATCCTAAAGATAGAAAAAGGATGATAATTTTACTATTTGTTTGCATCAATGGTTAGAAATAGAGCTTACAAAAGGGAAAAAGAAGTTGCAAGTGGTGAAGAGAAGAAAATCCTGCGGTAGACCCGGGCTAGATACACATGTTTATTTGTTGGATCAATTTGATATCAGAACTACATTGATTCAAGTGTGTAGTTCAGCACTATATTATTTGGCAATTGAAGGCAAGTGGTTGTTAAAAAAAATTAAGTATTCGTTAAGGTGGATATTTATTAGGAAATTAGTTTAATTTATTTTAAGCAGGTTCCTTATTTTAGGTGGAAGTAACTTGCTTCCTAATTGTTATAGTTACTTGAAGTAGGAATCAAGGAATATTTTCTATTTGTATGAGTTTAGAAGTTAGAATTTATTTCCTATTTTGTTTAAGTTTAAAATTAGCAGTTATTTCCTATTATTATTTGGGTGTTGGTTAGGAGATTATTTGAAATATTATTTAGAATAATTACTGTAGCACTGTTTGTGATGTGATGTGATGTGATGTATGTGAGATAAAAATGTAATTAAAAGATAAAAAGATGTGTTGGAAATTGCATTTGTGATGCAAGCAAATAATTTCTGGCCATTATTTGGCTATCCAATAAATAGGTTGGGGTTAGCGTAATATAAAGTGGCACACAAGAGAGCCATTAGTCTTCATATAAAAGTGAGAGAGGGCTCTCTTTGAAAATGAGACAAATTATACAAGAATTGAGTTTAGATTTCAGTTGTATTTTTTTTATGAAATTTATTCTCTCATAATAAAGAACAGGTGTTCTTTTGATGAACGTTTGCTTGATAATAAAGCCAATCACATTAAATCTTGTGTCTTTTAATTTCATTCTTGTAACTTATTATCATTAAATTATTCTCAATAATAGTTTATTCCGTGTCTGAGTCCCAACACCGAATCTTCGTGCTAGTAGGGAAAGAGATGATCTTTGTTAATGGTAAACGAATAAAGGGCAATGCTCTTTTCCCTCCTTTGTTTTTGCTTCTTGTGTAAGCGTTGTGAACTTGAAGCTTTAATCGGACGTGTCGCTATCACAAAAATTATCGGGATAGTACCAGAATTTTTCCTTCTTGTGTAAGTATTGTGAACTTGAAGCTTTAATAGGACATGTCGCTATCACAAATTATCGGGGTAGTACCAGTACTTATCAGCATAATTTGAATTAGTTACATCTACTTTCCCTAAGTTTTGAGCAAATTACAAAATGAATATTATGGTTTGATCAAATTAATTACCCCTTATGAGTAACGGTATGAAAAACCACTACTGAAGGTAGAGAACTGACAAAGCTTTGCTGGAAAACCTCTTGAGGTTTGTCCAAATTAATAAAAAGACAACAAGAATACAATTTAACATAAAACATATTGTATGTAACCCACGGAAAAATGAAACCCAAATTAAAAGAAAAATACGCACTTACTAAATACTAGTAAACAAGGGTTTAAAAAAATTTAGAAAATTTCTTGCCTATGGCTTATTTTAGTTGCTACAACATTTTTTTCGACCAATGTTTTGCATCCAACAATTATGAATTTTATTTAAATATATAATCGTTGTACAATAATAAAACTTAGCTAAACTACATGGTTTTTTGTCAATACATATAACATTTAAATTTTAACCTTAATTCTATAGAAGTATCTTTCTTGTACTTTTACTTTTTTTTTTTTTGTTTTTAAATGGCTGTCTTCTTACAAAAATCTTTAAATTTTAATTCTTAAAAGGGGATTTAAAATTAATAGCTTATTTTCTTTAGAGTTTGATCATTGATACGTTGATATGGAAAATGGTTTTTAATAGGCATAATTTCAGAAAACTCCTTTGAGGTTTCTGGCACTTTCACTAGCCTCCCCTGAGTTTCATAAATTACACTGACCTAATTTCTTTTATTTTTTTCATAAAAATTTAGTCCAAGCGCCATCAATGTAGTAGTATTTTCATGAGTGAGATAATATTTTTATTTCACAAATGCCCTTTTGCTTATTATATTAGTAACAAATTGAAAATCATTAAAGGTGAAAACAATTACTAAAGTTCAGCAGGTAAAAATGCAATTTAGAAACTTGAAAGCTATAGCAAAAACCTGAAGCCATCTTTCAACAGAAACGCCAACGGCTAGTTTTGTGCAATGGACATTTTTATTATTCTTGTATAAAAACATATAAACTCCACAACTAGCTCTATTCGGGGTACGAACTTCAATATTTGCGGTGAAAAGAAGTGATCCTGTTGTGCTATATTGGAAGTTGATAATGAAAAACTTGATGTAGAAATTATGCCCTGTTCAAGCCATAGTGTGGAATCTTGGAATTCACCCACGACTTTCACCATTAAGAACACATATTACAGCTACAATTGTAAGGCTATAGTGAAGATATCTGAGAGCAAAAACAATCTAGACAATTTATACTTTTGTCGTGCATAGTACGAGTGTAGACACCAAATTTTTTCCAAAAATTTTGTTGATTTTTATTGTATCTTTATTTATATTATTGGTTAAGTAATATTTTTTTGTGTTATTTTGTTAGGAAAAGAAAGAAGAAATGAAATTTTAAAATATCATTCATTTTTTTCGCCCAATCGAAAAAAAGAAAGGAAAAAAAATTCAAACAAAACCCAAGCCAAAGCTTCACAAAAACCCAAGCCAAAACCCAAACAAAATCCAAGCCAAAACTCCCAAAAGCCCAAGTTAAAATCCAACAGAAGTCTGGAAACGAAGGAAAAGAAAAGAGGCCCATCAGTCCATTTCCCTTTCTTTCATAAAAAAAAAATTTAAAAATAAAAAAATCAGTCCTTCGCGCTATATCCTTCTACCGTGCAACAAACCAGAAATCGGTAAAAAGAAGTTGCAAGAATTTTTCTCATTTTCTTTTTATTTTTTTTTCTTTCTTTCTTTCTTCCCAAATTTATTAGTACAAAAGACAGTTCATTCCTCTCCCAAATCTTCTTTTTTAATAGCTAATCAAATGGTTAGAAGAAACAACACATCATCATTTTCTAGAAGAAAATCTAGCCACATATCACTTTCTACAATCTAAAGGTTTATTGGTTTGAAAAAAAAAAGAGAAAAAGAAGAGAGTTTGAGGTTTTCTGGATAGAGGGAAACGAGTGAGGGGGTAGCTGCACAAGATCTGGGGGGTGAGAGGAGAGAGGAGAGAAAAACAATTGGGAGAGGAGGCCAAAAGAGACAGAAAGAGAGAAAAAAGAAAGTAAGAAAAGTATAATATGAAAAACATTGAAAAGTTTTCTGCAAAAAATTTTTGAGCCAGAGCTGACTGAACAGCCTTGTTTGTCTGAGTTTTCTGATTTCATATGAAGTTCGTTTTGTGAGATTTTGTTGCTGCACAATTTATGATTGTAGGGGAACAATTTTCGTCTTGAAAATCTCTAGAAAAAATGTTTTTAAAGCCCTCAAATTCAAGCCCAAATTTGTTGGATCATCAACTCTTGAACCTCTGCGACAGGAAGCTTTTTGCTTCATTTTCGGAATCACGGCACGTTTTCTTGTGATTTCTAATCCCTATTCGAGTTCGCCAGCTTCCTCAAGTAAATATAGCTTCCTTCTTTGGTTGATTTAATGTTTTGCATGTGATTTTAAGTCATTATATGAGTTTTCATAAGTTTTGCACCTTAGATCTCATTTTTCTCATAATTTGTGGTATTTAATGGTCGTGTTTGATGTTTAAATGAACTCATGAGGTCATGAGAAGCATGCTTATGCCAAGATCCGACCTTAAATCCCGTTAAAAATGAATTCCAGTGAGATTCCAGTTATGTTGGCTAGAATTTTTTCAAATTTTGGCGGGATTCCGGCGAGTTGACCAACTGGAATCGTCATCCTAGCCAGTCGACCCGCTGGAATCCTCTTCCTCCATTTTTCTCTTTTTTTGTCACATTTTCTTTGTTTTTGTTTGTTATTGTTTGATCTTCCAAGGCCAGTTGGGTTAATATTATTTATGCTTGTAGGCTAAGAAATGGGCTGTTTGTTTATTTTTTGTTTGGGTTTATGGTTGGGCTAACGAATTCAAGCCCAATATTTTGCTAAGTTTGAGTAGAGCTGTAAACGAACCGAAACGAACCGAGTATCTCATGTTTGAGCTCTGTTCGTTAAGCGATTCGAACTCCGTTCGTGTTCGTTCGTTAACTTTCGAACTCTAAATCTGTGTTCGTGTTCGGCT